GGCTAACATCTGTGCCCATCTTCCTCTACTTTATATGGGACGCTGCCACAGCATGGCTTGACAAGCAGTGTGTCAGCGCGCACCCAGGATCCGAACCAGTGAACCCCAGGCCGCCGCATCGGAGCATGAGCACTTAACCGCTTGCACCACTGGGCGGGCCCCTACTTTTCTAAATGTAGTGCCTGCTCTGATAGCCCTCTCCCCTCATAGTCATTTTTTTTTGTAGATTGTAAATGTTTAACTCATTGAATTCACTGTTGTCTAAAATAAGGTAATTGCTTGTTTGTGGTCTCCAGTATAAATAGAAGCAGTATTAGGAATTCTATACCTTCTACTCTACTGCTTTATGATTCAAACTAAGCTTCCACAAAACAGAGTTTAAAGGTGTAGTCCAGGGTTTACAAATTCAAATGACCCAGGAAGCAGGAGTATAAACGTGGGCATCAGGCTCATCCTGAAATACATTAAGGACGAGAGTCAAATCTGAGGTAAATGCCCACCATAAAAGAGCTCAAAAAAAAAAAAAACTGCCAAACCTGCCTGGTTAATTTGGTAGACAGACTGTGGATTTACTACCTTGAAAGTCCGTTACCATAGCTGTACATCTTTAGAAGACATCAGAACATATTTCTTAGACCTGAGTCTCTAGGCAGTAGGAGATTTGGTACTAAGGTAGCAATTATTTGTTTGCTACCCAGCATCAGAAAGTCCTTCCTGACTATATTTAACAGCACTGAATTGTATACTTGAAAGTTGCTAAGACAGTAGATCTTTAAAGTTCACACACACACGTAATTATGTGAGATGATGGACGTGTTAACTTTATTGTAATCATTTTGCTGTATATATGTAATCAAATCATCACATTGCACACTTTAAAGTTACAGAATGTTATATGTTAATTGTGTGTCAATAAAGCTGGGGGGAAAAAACAATGGAGATCGAAGATCCAAAACAAAACAAAAAAACAAAGGCCCTTACTGTGTGTGTGGGAGAGTTTACCCATTATGTTAAAATCCCCACTTTAGAATTAAAGGAGGGAGTTTCTCCCTTTCCTTTATCCCACAGAACCAGATCCTAGGTACATAACTTAGGGTTTGGCAGGCAGATTCTTCCTGCCATCTCCTCCCTATGTCTAAAGTTTTTAATCTCAAGGCAATGAGACAAAGATTTAGGAAGACTTCAGGAGTTCTTCTGGGCATTAGAAGAATACACGGATTACAAGTGCAGCAGTGGTAGAATAGTGGCAGCGTCTGCACTAGACTTCAATTACGTTCTTTACCGTTATCTTTTGCTGCTTTTGTTTTTCTAGCCTGGTTTTCCAGGCTTCCAAGATTCTGAATTTCCTAAGATTTCCAGGATGCCTTAGATACTGTGAGCAATATTTCTAATAAATTCCTTTTTTACTTAAGTTAGGCTTGATATTAATTGTTCGCAACTGAGGGCTCTGTTATGGGATAAATTTTGTCCCTTCTTCCCCCAAATTCATATGTGGAAGCACTAATCTCTGGTACCTCAGAATGTGATTAAGTTAAAATTAGGCTGTCAGAGTTGGCTATAATCCAATCCAGCTGGTGACCTTATAAGAAGAAATTTGGACACACAAAGAGACAGTAGAAGTGCCTGCCACATGAGGACACAGCAAGAAAACAGCCATCTGCAAGCCAAGGAGAGAGGCATCAGAAGAAACCAGCCCTGCCGACACCTTCACTTGGACCTCTAGCCTCCAGAACTATAAGAATATAAATTTCTGTTGTTTAAGCCACCAGGTGTGATATTTTGTTACAGCAGCCCTAGCAAACTAATATAGACCCTGACTAATAAAGGACAAACTAGGCTGTGGGTGTTGCTATTCTGGTGAGCAGAGGAAAGGCTACTAATTTATCTAAATAAATTCTTGTCATAAAGATAAGACTAATTTGGCCATGTAAGTTGCTGATCCATTTTATGGGTTGAGGCAGTACATAATAGAAAGTGCTTTGATTTAAATATTGAATGCTTCAAAATGCTCCTGACATGT